AGCCCAGGCTGGTCTTGAACTTGCAACGATCCTCCTGCCTCAGCCTCCTGAGTGCTGGGATTACAGGCGTGCGCCACCACACCTGGCTAGTTAAGCTTCTACACTTCTCAAATTGACACAGTCAGCCACTACAGAGTCACATAAATAAGTCTTTATTGAAAAAAAATAACATAATTCCTTATAAATACAATAAATAGTCCTCCCCAGACTGCGCCTGTGAGGATAAATAATACCAACATTTCCCTTCCCATCTAATAAATATGCAGCTTTGTCACAGGTCAACATCGTGAGTCAGTATTGGTCATTTTTTAACAAGTGGGTCCCATTAAAATTAACGGACTAACTCGCTCACTGGCCCTCAGGTGCCTGAGCTAGTGGATTTGTCCTTCCCGAGCCGCAGAGAGCTGAGCGCCACCCTTAGGTGTCGGCCTTAGGGGCTCAGGTTTGCTGCTCCATGGCCAAAGACGCGGGCGGCTACAGCCACGAAGGCCTGGAGGCTGCGGAGGATCTTGACCCGAAGCAGGAGACGCTGCCAAGGCTGGCTGGGGCTGAGGCTGGGCGTCTGAGGCTCCCGCTGGGGACCCTCAGGCTGAAAGGAGACGGGACGCTATCAGAGAGGACCCCGTACCCCAGCCCCCGCAGGCTCCCGGCCTCAAGGCCCCCGGCTCCTACCTGTAGGAGTTGGCTGAGCCGCAGCAGGGAGGCCTGAAGCTGGCCTGCCAGGCCATCAGGGAGTAGTGCAGGGTCCCCCGTGAAAATGTCCGAGCCCAGCAGCTTCTGGTAAAAAACCAGACCCTGGTAGATCCTCTGCAGACAGAACTGGGAAGGAAAGAAGCAATGAAAGCCGGTGAATAGCCTCCATTCACCAAAGATTGACCCAGTTCTTTTCCATTCTCACACACAGCCTGGAGCTCACGCGTTCCCGCCCATGTCCCCCACCCCCTCTGCCTTGTGGCTCAGCTTCAGATTAGCGATACCCGACTGCTGTCCTTCAGCCCTTGTGGGTCGCAGCCGTCCCCACACCGGATGTGGGGGACGCCATCGGTATTCTCTTCGTCTCCCTCTTCTCTTGGTGGATCCTGGAATGAAGTAAGAATGAAGGACTTCTCTGTGTGTGCTGGGGGTGGGACCCAGGGCCTCATGCACGCTAGGCAAGCGCTCCAGCACTGGCACCTCCCCAGCTCGTATGAAGTCCGCCAGTCCCCTAGGTTCACGTTCTCCCGGGGCCCCAGGCTCCTGTCCTCGCTCCTTCTCTGACGCCCATCAGCCCTGCAGCTTCCGCCCGGCTCCGCAGCCTCCAAAGGCCTGGAGAGGGTCGCTGTGGCTGGTCCCAGGGTTAGACACTCACCACATGTCCTGCTGACGGATGTGCACTCCAAGCCAGCGTGCAGAGCTTCCGTGACAGCCGCTGGCACTGGGCCCAGGAAGGGCTGCTGCTCCCAGAGACTGCCCGGGCCTGCGCCGCCCAGGGGAGCAGCAGTAGCAGCATCACAGCTGTGCCCCCCAGCATCTCGTCACCCGCTTCTCGAATCTGCCTGGCTCAGGGGCTTGCACCAGTCCCGCAGGAATCTCTTCCCACTTCCCCTTGCTCGGAGCCTGATTCTCTTCTGTTCTGTGTCTGGTTCTGGTTCTTGCTGCTCACAGAGTTTCTGAGCTGGTTCCCCTTGTTTTCCTCCCTCTGTCTCCGAGTCTTTTTAAGGTCTCTGCAGTGCAAGGCCCGCCCTTTACACCAGCAGGTGACTCACAGCAGGTGGGATTCCCCTCCCTGCATCATCTCCCTCGGTGGAGAGCCCAGGTATGCATCCTCTGTTCCAGGGGAAATGGACAGTGAGGCCGCTGGGGCCGGAGGCCTCGGATGGGACACATGTGTAATGCTCTCCAGGAATCCAAACGGCCAGAGAGGGGCGGGGGAAGTAACGAACATTTAAATTAATCTGGCCTCAAGTTCCTTCCTGATTAATCTGCCCGGTTTTTTTTGCCTCCCAAAGCTTTACCCCTACCCCACCCCAAACCTAATTTCCTCACTTCCTCTTGCATGAGAAACAACCAAAACAGAAGCACTTGCTCAGCTCCCAGAAGGATGGAAGGGAAGATGGGATGAGGTTTGGGTCCTATGCGATGCCCACTATCTAAGAAAAAGGAGCTGCTTTTTCTCCATTGGGAACTGTTCTTTTCACCGGTGGTGCTGGCTTCCAGGAAGAGGACAGACTCAGAGGCACCCTCCTGACTCGGAAGCCCTGGGAATGCGGCAGAAGGTGTCGTGCCTGCTCCTCCTGCGGTGAACACTGGGGAGAGGTTAAAAACCACCTGATTTTTTTTGGTCTTTTTTTTGAGACAGGGTCTCACCATGCAGTTCAGGCTGGCCTTGAGCTCACTTTGTAGCCCAGGCTGGTCTCAAACTTGCAGCAATCCTCCTGCCTCAGCCTCCCAAGTGCTGGGATTACAGGCATGCGCCACTGGCTAAAACTGCCTGATTTTTTGACCCACTTCATGTCCCAAGGCTTCGTGGGCTCTGCGGGATCTTTTCAGGATACCGGTGCAAGCCCTGTCCCCTGTCCCGCGCCTTCCTTATCCCAGGGTAGTTGAAGATGCTGTTGAGAATGACTGTGGCTGGCCCTGCAGCCTGTTGCACCCATGGGTAAAATCCACTGACGCCGATTTCATCAGCCCCTGTGATGTAACGTGCAGTGAAACAGCTGAGCGTGAGGCTGGGCCTGGGGGTGGGGGGTGGTCTGAAGCGGGGCTGCCCCAACCCCAGCGGAGGGGCCCCAGGCGATGTGGACGTCAGAATGAGCCACGGGTGACCACGCAGCCGGCTCGCAAAGCCTCCCCAAGAAGTGGACTGCTTTCTTAGAAACTTGCCCTTCGTGGAGGCCTCCCTTCCCTTAGAGTTATTGCCCAATAAAATTTCTGGCTTGAATATTTGAGTGCGTGGTAAATCCGCCCTTGAGGTGAAACACTGCCACCATCAGAGCATATCTCTTGGCAGGGGGAAATGGTTTGCTTTTCCCTACAGAGCGGAGACAGCCAAGGATTAAGGAAGTTAGAGGATACAGGTGAGTCACTCTTGGTGTGTACAGTGTGTCCTTGTTCTTTCCAGCTCCAGGCCCCAGGCTGGGTGCCCTAAAAAACTGGAGATGAATTCTGAAAAGGAGAAGGAAGTGGAGCCCCGGGGACTGGGATGAGACCGGTAGGAGTGTTCTGAGGTGCTGCAGGCCCGGGGCTCTGGCCTGTGTTTCACTTCCTGCTGCAGCAGCAGCTGGGTAGGAAGCAGGGTTAGTGGGACAGCCGTGGGACTGTTGTGTAGCAGGAACTACTTCCAGAGCGACCTCCGACCTGGAGCTCCAAGAAGCCCTTGACGTCAGCCGGGCCCCAACCGCTACGCAAATCACTCATCAGACTGTCCTGGACAGGCCTCCTAGTGGGATGCGCAGACTCCAAATCCTGCTAAAGTTCCCCCAGCCGCTTCATAACCATGGCTAATGTATGCCCAACTCTCACCTTCTGCCAAGTAGTCCGTCTAAGCATTTTATATATATTAACCTATTTAATTCTCACAACAACCCTACAAGCTAGGTACTATTATTATCCCCATATTACAGACGAGGAGCCTGAGAAGCAGACATAAATTAATTTGCCAGTGATCACAAAACTACAGAGTTGCTGGGCGTGGTGGCGCACATCTGTAATCCCAGCACTTGGGAGGCTGAGGCAGGAGGATCACCACAAATTCAAGGCCAGCCTGGGCTACATAGTGAACTCAAGGCCAGCCTGAACTACAAAGCAAGACTCTGTCTCAAAAAACAAAACAAAACAAAAACACAGAAACAAAGCTACAAAGTTGGTAGAACTGCGCAAAGATAATCTGGCTTCAGATCTTGTATTTTAGCTAGGCACGGGGGCACATGTTTCTATTCCCATCACTCAGGAGGCTGAGGCAGGAGGATTGCCTCAACTTGGAGCCCTGCCTGGGCTACATAGTAAATTCAAGGTCAGCTTGAACTACATAGTGAAACTCAGTCTCAAAACAAACACAAAAGTTCCTGTATACTTTTTCTTCCTGTTTTTGGAGACAGGATCTCACTATGTAGTCCAAACTGGCCTTGAACTCATGATTCTCTTACTCACAGATCCTACATTTTTTTTTTATAAGCATACTGGGGATTCAACCCAGGGCTTTTGTACTGAGCTATATCCCCAGCCCTTTTTATTTTTGTTTTGAGGTAAGGTCTCAGTGAAATTGCTAAATTGTCCTGTCTGGGCTTGAACTTGAGATCTTTCTGCCTCAGCCTCCCAGAGTACTGAGGTCAGAGAGGTGTATGCCACTACATCCAGCTAGAGCTGGCATTCTTTCTGTCTTTTTACTGACTACTTTGGTTTTCTGTTTTGTTTTTTGAAGCTTTTGACCCATAGTCAGACACATTACCCATTGCGCCACTGGCCCACTGTTTTGTTTTTTGAGACAGGGCCTCCCTGTGTAGTCCCGGTCAGCCTCAAACTCATGGCAATCCTCCTGCCTCAGCCTCCCAAGTGTGGGACTACAGGAGTGTGCCACCACACCTGGCTTTTGTTTTGTTTTGTCTTGGGACAGGATCCCCCTATGTAGTTTGGGTTGGCCTCGCACTTGTGGCAATCCTCCTCCCTCAACCTCCCCACTGATAGGATTACCCACCACTCCCAGCTAGATCTCACATTCTTAATGACTGCACTATACTGGATACTTAGAGGTGATAAAGTATATCTTGACTTATAAAGTAGTTTATTTAGCCCAGGTACTTCAGGCTTTATAACTCTTATAGGTGTGTGAATTCTTTCTGAATTTGAGAACTCAATATGGAGGTTTTTCAAAGTATAGGAACTGTTTAGGTCTTTTCTTTCTTTCTTTCTTTCTTTTGGAGATAGGGCCTCACTATGTAGTTCAGGCTGGCCTTGAACTCACTTTGTAGCCCAGGCGGGTCTTGAACTCACAGTAATCCTCCTACTTCAGCCTCTTGAGTGTGCTGGGATTGCAGGCGTGTCCAGCTCTGTTCAGGTGTTCAGCACCAATGTTTTGGTGAGATTTTAAATCTAAGGACCTGTGAAGTCAGATCTGCTTGAAGGATTCTGAGTTAAGGTGCTTTTTTCTTGGTCTAGTAAATCTGAGTCTAGGACCCTTGCAGTCTGGGAGATCTAAATTCCTGGGTCTACTTTGAGTGTGTGTGTGTGTGTGTGTGTGTGTGTGTGTGTGTTTGCACACGCACACACACACACACACACACACACTGGAGATTGAACCCAGGGCCTTGTGCAAGTACTCTGTCACTGAACTTATATTCCCAGCCCTTGGTTCCTTTTATAAAACTATCACCCTTTCCTTTTTCTTTCTCTTTCTTTCTTTTTCTTTCTTTCTTTCTTTCTTTCTTTCTTTCTTTCTTTCTTTCTTTCTTTCTTTCTTTCTTTTTTTATTGTTTTGAGACAGGGTCTTGCTATGTAGTTCAGGCTGGCCTTGAGTTAACTTTGTAGCCCAGGCTGGTCTCTAACTCAAAATGATCCTCCTGCCTCAGCCTCCCGAGTGCTGGGATTACAGGCGTGCACCACCACGCCCGGTCTACCACCCCTTCTTGACAAAAATGCTTTAACTGCTTTTTATTTTTGGCAGTGCTGGAGATGGTGCACAGGGCCTATCTCACACTAGGCAAGGACTCCACTACTGAACTATATCGCAGCCCGGAGAAATACTTTAAAACCATACCCTCGGTTGGGCATCGTGGCTTGCTCTTGTACTCCTCAGCACTCCGGGAGGCTGAGGCAGAAGGATCACAAGTTCAACCCTAGCATGGGAAATTCGGCAGTCTAGTTGGACTCTGTCTAAAAAGACTGAGAAAGGGCTGGGATGTAGCTCAGGGCAAAGGCTGTGGGTTCAATCCTCAGCACTGCAAACAAACAACCTCTGAAGAAGTTCTTCGATGGGAGTCTCTCTAGGTGACTTTTAGCAACAGTAATGGCAGCTGAGCTAACGTACCCCAAGATATCTCACAGCCTGGCCCCAACCCAACTGTTCGAACTTACAGTTGGGCCCCGCAAATCCCTTAGAAGTCAGGTTTGATGGCGCAGGCCTGTAATCCCAGCATTCTGGGAAGCGGAGGAAGGAGGCTCCCAAGTCGGAGATCAGCCTGGGCAATTTCGTGACTTTGTGAGAACTTGTCTCAAAATTAAAAAGTAATGCATGGACCTGGGGAAGTAGGTCAGCGCGAAGGCTCTGGGTTCAATTCTCCGTATGGGGGGGAATCCAGATAAGTGTAAACGGCACGTCCTTGCCAAATGTCCCAATTTGCCCAATTTGCCGTGCTTGTCCCCCTCTGGGAGATAACGTCCAGCTCCACCGACGAGGGGAATTTGATAGTTCGGAGGCTCGTGTTCCCTGGGAATATTAACGGGGGCCCTGGTGGGGAACAGCCACGGATGGGAATTTCAGATGGATGCCTTTAGAACCGTAGAGAATGTGGCCACTTGGACCGAGTCAGAAGTTGGGCTCCCGCTTCCTTTTTCTCGCCTGCATCTAGAAATCATAGGAAATGCCCTCGAGTTTCGGGGGCACAGGGTCATATGCGGCGGCGGGCTCACACAGCAGAGGGGGCGGACTGGGACAGGCTGGGAATGCCCAGCAGCCGATTCCCAGCGCTTTGTTCTGCGTGCCCCGCAGTCTAGTTTCTAAAGTTACGGAGAACCTAGAAGTTCAGTTTCCAAGTCTGGGGCTAGTTTTGTTTAAAAGTCAAAGGTTTACTTTTCACCACGAAACCCGCACGCATCCGTCTCAATTTGTCCCCGTCGGCGACCCGTAACCTTGGTTTTTTTGCCCAGCCCTGACGTCACCGACCTTCTTCCGGAAGCCGTCTGTACCTTGCTCCTTCTGATTGGTTTAAATGCCCCCAGCCCTTCCTGATTGGAAGCGGCGATTGGCAAATCTGCTGCCCTTCCCGCCGTAGGTTAGGTTGAGTTAGAGGCGCGGGGTAGAACTGGGGAAACTGGAATTTCCCGCGGAGCTGACGGCGCTTGCTCTCCCCCTACTCGTTTTAATTCCACGCGCTCCAAAATATCCGCCATGGAGAAATCTTGGTAATGACCCATTCCCCGTAAGCACCCCAGGAACACATCTGACCCTTGTCCACATCCCTCCCCTCCCCGTCACTGGGGGAGAATTCTGGGTAACCAATTTCTCTGGTTCCTCCCAGAGGATTCTGGGTAGCTGTCCGTTTGCATCATCTTCCCCTAACCCCCGCCACAATTGTGGCTAACTGGCCATTCCTATTGATCCCCCTAGAGATTCTTGGATGACTATTGCAGAAGATTCTGGGAGACTCGTGTTTCTCGCTTCCCTCAATTCTAGGAAACAAGCATCTTAAACCTAATTGCAACCCTCCTGCCCCCGAAAAACCTACTCCCTTCACCTGATGGTTCAGGGCTGAAGCAGGCAAGTGAGCATGTCTGAAGGGAGGAGAAAGGGAAGTTAAGGATTAGGATAGTGGGGTGGTAGGAGCACAGAGGGTCAGGAGGAGGAGAGTAGGGGACAACCCACATCCTGCTGCCCAGCTCCTGCCCCGTTTAGCCTCTGCCTGACGGTGTCATTCCTTCTGCTTGCCTCCTCACCCTCCTACTCACATAATCTAGAAGACACTAGATTCCAGTACCTGGGCTCCCCCTGACTCAGCTACCTCTTCCCCCTTGCAGGCCAGGATGTCCTTTCTAAGCCCACTGGTGCTGTTCTGCCGAAGGCTGGGGCAGGTATCCACAGGGACAGTGTGACCCAGCTGCCATCATATCATCGCCATGAACTTTGAGGGTCTGGACCCTGGACTGGCAGAGTATGCCCCAACCATGCATTCTGCCCTAGACCCTGTCCTGGATGCCCACCTGAACCCAAGTCTGCTGCAGAATGTGGAGCTGGACCCGGAGGGAGTGGCCTTGGAGGCTCTTCCTGTCCAGGAATCGGTGCACATAATGGAAGGTGTCTACTCTGAATTGCACAGCGTGGTGGCCGAAGTGGGTGTGCCTGTGACCGTTTCCCACTTTGACTTGCACGAGGAGATGCTGTGGGTGGGGAGCCATGGGGTAAGAACCACGCGCCTTAGGGTTTTTTGTTTGTTTGCTTTTTTTCTTTTTGAGACAGGGTCTCGCTATGCAGTTCAGGCTGGCCTTGAGCGCACTTTGTAGCCCAGGCTGGTCTCGAACTCACAAGGACCCTCCTGCCTCAGCCTCCCAAGTGCTGGGATTACAGGTGTGCGCCACCACTCCTGGTGACCTAGTAGGTTTTGAAAGAGCATATTAGAAGTCTTTTTTTTTTTTTTTCTTTTTGTACCAGAACTCAGGACCTTGCACTTGCCAGGCAGGTGCTTGTGCCACTGAGCTATATCCAGAGCCATACTGGAAATCTTTATCTGGTCTTTGCTCAAGGACAGCTGCTTTGTTAAGTCAGACCAAGGAGTGGGAGGGGGAGGAAGAACAGGGGCGTCTTGACTCCAGAGATAAGTTATGTAGGGTATTAGTTTTCAGAAGGTAACCCACTCGGGCCACATCTCCATCCATATTTTCATGAACTGCATATCACTTAGTCTTTTTTTTTTTTTGGTACCAGGAATCGAACTCACAACCTTGTGCTTGCCAGGCAGGCGCTGTGCCAGGCTCTGAGCTAAATCCCCAGCCCCATCACTTAGGCTTTAATGACCCTGTCCAATCTTTCATGCCCTTCCTATGTTCTATTTTTATAATTATAGACTGTTTAATGACTGTTTCTGCATATATTACATGGAACCATTCTGTCTTCTCTAGCTGATTTTTAGTCTGTCAGAGCATTTATTAATGCTGATTTTAAAAAAATGTGTATTATCAATATGCTATGAGGTTCTTTTTTTTCTTTTTTGTTTTGAGACAGGGTCTTGCTGTGCAGTTCAGGCTGGCCTTGTACTCACTTTGTGCCCAGGCTGGCCTCGAACTCGCAACGATCCTCCTGCCTCAGCCTCCCAAGTGCTGGCATTACAGGTGTGCACCATCAATATGATATGAAACCGAAGATTTTTGTTTTTTGTTTTTTGTTTTTAAAGAAACTGTATGGTGACCTTGATTTACTTGTTTACCTTTCATGGCGCGTGAGTTATGTTTCCATTAGAAGGAATGCATTTGCTGTATTTATCACAGTCATTCAATTCGGTAGGTTGTGTCTATTGCTATGTTAGGGAAAGGGAATAAAGGGGGATAAAAATCTTCAGCTGGGCACAGTCGTACACACCTGTATTCCCACCTGCTTTGGAAGCTAAAGCACAAAAATTGCAAGTTCAAGGTCAGGCTGAGCAATTTAGCAAGACCCTGTTTGAAAATAGATGGCTGGGGGTATAGTTCAGCAGCACAAGCATCTGCCTGGCAAGCGCAGGGTTTTGAGTTTGATTCCTGGTACCAAAAGAAAAAGAAAATTTAAAAGGTCTGGGGATGTAGGTCGGTGGTAGAGTGCCTGCCTAGCATGCTCAGGGCCCTGAGTTCAGTGCCCTGAACCACGTAAAACCCAAACTAAACAGTCCTTGTCTGCCAGTAGTTCACATGACGGGAAAAAAGACCTAGCAGTAAGTAGCCAGGCATGGTGATGCACGCCTGTAATCCTAGCACTTGGGAGGCTGGGGCAGGTAGATCACCGAGAGTTCAAGGCCAGCCTGGGCTCCAAAGTGAGTTCAAGACCAGCTTGAACTACATAGTGAGACCATGTCTAAAAAACAAAAAGAGAAAAAAAAAAAAAGACAAGTAATTTTTTTGATATTGAGTGCTAGTGTGAAAATACTATGTGGTAGAGAGCAGGAAGGAGGCTCAGAGAAGGACGCCAGAACTGGGGAACTGAATCTTGAAGGACGGGAAGTGGAGAGGCTGCGCGGGTATAGGATACAAAAGATTTCTAAGATATTGCACAGCGCAGTTAGTATAGAGAGCCAGAACTTTAAGCAGTTAAGATTTATTGGGCTGGAAGCTGAAGCTGAAGAAGTTTATTTGTTCAGTGAGGTTTTAAAAGTTTTGTTTTGGTTGGGGGACTGCAGATTGAACTCAGGGCCTCTCCTGCACTTTATGACCGAGCTACACTCTCGTCCCCGCAAAACCTCATGAGTATACAGGTCAGGATGACTGTTCTAGACCATTCAAGACAGGGTCTCTCTTTTCTTTTTTTTTTTTTTTGAGACAAGGTGTCACTCTGTAGTTTAGGCTGACCTTGAACTCACAGTGATCCTCCTTCCTCAGCGTCCCAAGGGCTGGGATTATAGGCATGAGCCACCAGGCCTGCCATCTAGACCCTTTAGAAAGGAGGGAAGGAACTGCAGAGTTATCTGGGGAAAGAATATTCTAGAAAATGTCCTATACGCTGTTAAAGGAGCTTGTCCCTGGTCACTGAAGGATTTTTACCTGAATGACTAAGTCGAGTTGGCGTCCTAGGTGTGTTGCTGAGGTAGCAGTACAGAGTTTGATTTAAGGAGGGTGGGAAGGACTCCAGAGTTTGCAGGCTGTTGTAATGGTACTCAAAATAAGGTAAAGGCCTGAAGGAAGCACTGTAGAGATGGCTAGGCAAGAAAGATTTGGAAAGATTTTGGAAGTAAAATAAATAGAACTTGACTAGCAAATGACTTGGTCAAGTTGATAGATCATTTCATGGTATCCTAAAGAATAAAAACAAATGGGGGTACAAATGGCAAATTGAATTCATGGTATGAGTTTGAGGTTCTTGTGGGATATCTACGGAGAGTACCTTTTTTGGTACTGCAAGTTGATCCCAGGAGTTTTGTTTGTCTTTTTGAGACAGGGTCTCACTATGCAGTTCAGGCTGGCTTTGAGCTCACTTTGTAGCCCAGGCTGGTCTCAAACTTGCAAAGATCCTCCTGCCTCAGCCTCCCGAGTGCTGGGATTACAGGTGTGTGCCACCACATCCAGGGGATAGCAGTTTTTCTTTCTCTCCTTACTGCTGGGGCATATGGCATCTTTTTCTTTTGCTTTTGTCAGTAGGTTGGCCTCTTCTATTACAGGAATCCCCATTCCTAGGATTTCTGATATAAGAGGCCTTGCACTCACAGTGTTCCTCCTACCTCAGCCCTCTGAGTGCTGGCATTACAGATGTATGCCAGCATGCTCGGCTTTATTCATTTATTTTTATTTGGACATGGGTCTCACTAACTTAAGTTGCTTAGACTAGGCTTGACTTGAGAGTCTTCTATCTCAGCCTCCTAGAATGCCAGGATTTCAGACATGTATCACCACACTTGGCAAAAGAGACATTTAATAAGTAAGTATTTGGTTGCATCCGTGGTACAACTCAGAGAAGAAAATAAGGGTTCATTAGCTTTAGAATGGTATTTAAAACCGTAAGGATAGATGAGATTTCCTAGAAGACAAATAGAATGAGAAGATAGTAGGTTGAGAGTAGCCATGTTTCAAGAGTGGTGGAAAGAAGGGGC